TCTCTCTCTCTCTCTCTCTCTCTCTCTCTCTCTCTCTGAGTGCTGCTGCACATTGTGAATGTCTTTAGCGCCGCACAGTGGGAATTGATCTTGCACCATCCACTTTCCAGTTTCTGCATGCCATCCGCGCTACAGGGGTGGCCCGGCGTTTGAGGGTTTGAGGTTATCGGCCCCTGATCCGGTTGTTCGTTCCTTATATGCACTTGCCTTGGGCACTGGCCTTGTAATAAAAAGTAAAGTAATTTCTTTGGGGAAAACAAGGCGTTTGCCACAGTTATTTTGAAAGAGAAAGATATTCAAAACATACCTGGCCCATGTTGCTGAATGGTACACGCATGGAACTGTTCGTAAACCGGTTACGAGTTCAAGGTCTGATAAATCCAGTAAAGTCAAGGGTTACCCCCCCCGACCTGTCCATTTCCCAGCTATTTTGTCCCTGCGCAGCAGTTAACCCGCTGCAAAATCGTGGGTTGGGCCTACAGGATGGAAAAGGCTGGTGGCACCAGGCAAATGGAAGCAATTTTGTGGCTGCACTGTGGTGCGTGGCAGGAGGCTCAATGAGATGGCAATAACGTTGGGGGCTATTCCCCCCCAAAAAAAAAGGACAAACAAAAAAGAAAAACAGAAACAAAAGCGACACTGTTATTGAAATTGAACCCCAGCTGCTGAACAAAAAAAAGATTGCTTGCTCAACACTTGACGATAATAGACCTTTGATTTGCCAGAGCTTGCTGTTACCATCTGCTGTTTTCAAAAAGGGCTACGGCCTTGAGATATCATCATTGAGCTGATCGGCCCCAGGCAATTCAGAAATATCTGGTTTTACTCATCAAGTTCCATCATCTGGATTCAAACTCCGGTCCATATTTCAACATTCATGGATGTACCAGCTTAGCTAGGCTCTTGGGTACTCTTATCATCTGCCTTCCACTTGTTTTTTCGGAAAAATCGACTGCTGGAAACCGGGTCCAGTGTCCCAGACACATTGTTCTCCTCCTTTGCCAATTGCTTAATTGAGTTATGGAAGATCCTCACCAGGCCCGGCAGCACTGATTGCCCAGAGGACATCAGGGGATGACTCTCCATGCCTGGATCATGTCCTGAAAAACAGCCTGAATATCTTCTTTCGTTTTATTTTTTTTTCCCCGAAGGCTCCCATCTATTGGTGGGGAGCTGCGCCTGCTGGAAACCGGGTACAGCGTCCGTTTTGCAAAGAAATAAGCAATGAGAACAGCGATAAACCAGATGGCGACATCTCACTGGGGACCAGACATAATTGAGCTGTATTGAAAGCAGAAATCAAAGCGAAATGCACACCAAATAGGAACGAGCAATACCCTGAAGTCTTTTGATAAAGAAATCCCTTCCACTTCCTCCAATCCTCAATACAACGTCAATTTAGTCTTCCTCTTGGCGACCTGACTGCCCTTCCTCCTCCCTACTCACGTACTCAACTAGCCTATCTACATGCCAGCAAACTGTCCATATGTCAGTCGCCCAATGCCGCTTGAAGACTCTGGTCACATCGCCAGCCTTCATCAACACCAGGTATGTGCCGCGTTCCCAATGCCTCTGTTCTCTCCTCCTCCTCCCAAGGATCACTGCACTTCCACCGCCCCACTATGGTGCGCCCAGCCTGGCTGTGGTGCACCAGGTATGGGCGGGCGCCCACCTCCTTCCTTCCTTGCTGCCACCACTGCCGCTTCCTTCACGGGCACTCGCTGGCCGTGATCTCCAGCAGTGTGGCCACTCAGCCTCAATGCCCAAATGTGCCTGGCTGGGCAGCCTGCCTGCTCTTGTGCTGCTCTAGTAGGCTGCGTGTAACCTTGCCCACATCCCAGTAGGAAGTGCCTGGGCCTACTGGGAGGGCGTGCATGACCCAGCCTCTGCAACTGGCTGGTGGGATGAGCATACCAGTTAGCTACAGGGGCTGACTGCTTGCAATTAACCTGTGGGGCCCCTTTTCTCAGGCCGACTTTCACTTAGGGCCGGCATCAAATTTCTCTGCCTGCCTTCACTTAGGGCGGGCAGGCTCACTCTTGTCACGGCCGAGAGGGTCCCAATCCTTGCGCTTTCACAATTTTGCGTGTAGTGACATTGCCAGTGGCAACGTGCACGATTGATTACCCTCTCGTCCTCTCCTGAAGCAATTGACTGCTTTGGAGGGGGGCACACCCTTCTTCCAGCGCCAGCCTCCTAGATGCCAGCCCACCATGTCCCTGCCCACATGGTGGAATTGTTTACAACTGCCCATTCCCTATGCATTCCTCCCCTCTCAATGCATCTCTAATGCTCCATCATTCATTATGTCTGAATGCCATGGACGGGGGTCTGAATCAGCCTATCCTCCTCCAGTCACCAGTTGGGAAGCATTTTCCTTAGCTGTTGAGTCAGGTTCTATCTTTGTGACTATTGGAAGTTGTCTGAAACCAGACTGCTGCCATCTGCTGCCTTCTGTCCTTGATTTACCTTCAGTTTCTCCGAGCAGCGCCAGCTGGAATCCAGGTCCTGTGTCTGATCATACAGGGGAAGTTTGGTGCTGAATTCACCTTGCCTTCGTCTGCTGCCCGGTTGCCTGCCCCATCGTCTATGCCAATCCATTTGTGGGAGCTTCACCAGGCAGAGAGTAGGCCCAGTGTCCCTTGGAAGCACAGTATCCCATGATCAAGTCCCAAGTCAGTCGAATCCCGAGTAAAATTTTGAGAAATGTGGACGTTGAGGCTCCACGATTGACAACGCTCTGATCGTTATGCTCTTGCGTCACAAAGTTGGGGACGTGAACTCCCACCACTGTCAATGTCTTCACAACTCCAGCGTTGCTGCCGATCTTTGTCCCTTCAAGTGCCTGTGTGTCGTGCTCTGCTCCCTGGCCCGACTTTTGTGGCGAGTCCAGGCTCATCGCACTGGTGCTAGCTGTGGGGGTCCCTGGGAACGAGGTCTCTTGCTATGAGTTTTGCAATTGTGTGTTCATGAGCTGCAATATGTCCGAGTTACATCTCAACCAGTCACCGAAGTTCACCACCTTTTTGTGATTGTACTTCTGCCTGTGCTGCTGTACCAAGTGCCAAGCAGGTCGGTGTTTCTTCAACCGGAGCCATGATGTCAGATGTAACATTGGCTTTGTTTGAAGATAGTGGATGGTGAGCTCTACACCTTAACCCCACCCCACCCCGCAACCCCATTGCCCTCCTTCCCCCCAAAAAAGCTTATAGTCTGTGACAGTGTGTGTGAACAGTTTGGAAGTTCAATGAGTCAGAGCATCAATAAATTGGCTGAATATATCGAGGAAAGGACAAAGAGCATCAATAAATTGGCTGAGTATATCGACGAAAGGACAAAGAGGCTAGCATCAATAAATTGGCTGAATATATCGAAGAAAGGACAAAGAGACTGGTACCAGAAATTAATCCTTGAAGCTTTCAAGCAGGATCAAGTTGCGCCACCTGCCCCGTTGGATGTTGCCATGATAAGGGAGGCAGTTCCTGCCGACCTTGTGAGCACATCCACTCACATGATGACTGGTGGGGATTCTAAAGCAGCAGCAAATCACTCAACTGAGCTTTTGATCTGTTTGGGTACCAAGCTGTCAGACTTGGGGATCTCTTCAACTTTGGAGGCTTGAAGGGTTTCAGGACAGTCTACAGCATGGCTGAGCAGACTCCTCCCATGTGCCTGCTTTATGTGCAAGGGACCTGACTGTCAACACTTGCCAGAGTGTAATACAATGCATGCCACTTCACCATTCACACAGATTATGACTCCACACACAACGCAGAATGGAGATGAGATGAGAACCAAGTCGCACAGCTCATATTATCTCAAGCACATTATAAAGAGTATCTCGAGTTCATGTCTGCAGGCGCTCAACAACATGAC